TCACCCTTATCGTCCCGTTCCAGCCTCACTTTTACCCCCCTGTTTTCAACCCCCCAATTCTCGGCCCTCCCCCACCTTGCTTCGATAATCGTTTGTCTTTTCGTTTCAACTCATGCGAACGCGGAGCGTCATTCCTGCCCTGTCAACGGGCCCATGTCCAAGCAAGCGGCTTATTCCAGTTCATCGGCTTTTATTTGGAGCCATCGATTCTCCTTCAGATTGGCATGCCTCAATGTTCGCACATTGCTTCAGATCGGTCAACTGGCAGCATTTGCTCGAACATTAGAGACCCTCTCAATCGATATCTGCTGCTTATCGGAGACCCGCCTGCAAGACTCGAGCTCTGTACTCACTCTGTGATTTTCTTCAGGGGACACTGGCAACACTTTCTCATTACGCCTATCTGGTGACGATGCAGCTTCGAGCACCGGCCAAGCCGGTGTTGGTATTGCCCTGAGTCCCCGGGCTGAAGCTACTCGGGTTGATTGGATTCCAAGCAGTAGCCGGATGTGTGCGGTCTGATTGGCTGGCTCGTTCAAAACTTCGAAGTTGCGTGGGACTAACAAGTGTCTATTCGTTATCGCTGCCTATGCACCGACAAACTGTAGCGATGACTCGGTAAAAGACGACTTCTATCGTCAACTGAACAAGCTCCTTCGCCACAGAAGAAGCTCGGACACTGTTGTGCTGGTTGGGGATCTGAACGCTCAAGTTGGAATATTATCCACAGATGAGCTGCCTCTGGGCGGCCAACATGGTATAGGCTCCCGTAATGATAACGGTGAGTGGTTACTTCATTTTTGTGAGGATGCTCGCTTATTTCTTGCGAGCACTAATTTCCGACACAGCACTCGCCGGACGGTGACTTGGCGCCCACCAGCTATGGACGCAAATCGATCACATTGTGATAACTTACCGATGGAGAGGCTGCGTCCAGAAGTGTCGCTCGATTTGGAGCACATGTGTGGACACCGATCATGCACTTGTATATGCTGACCTACGGATGCGTTTTGGCGGACGCCCACGACGACGCTGTGAGCGCATTGACACCAGCCAACTGGCGAGGCCAGCTGTTCTGAATGCGTATTGAAGTAGGCTGTCATGCGAGTTGCATAAACGCTCACTGGATGCAATTGAAGGTCACTGGTCTCATATTCACCAGACCTTACGAGCAGCAGGAAAATCCTCATGTGGTATGTCTAATCACCTACATAGACATTGGGTCTCTTCACAATCTCTGGAACTTATAGGTGCTCGCTGGCATATTCCGACTGGAAGCTAACACAATGAAACTCGCAAAGAGCTCCGGGCAAAACTCCGTGCTAGCCTGAAGAGAGACCGCGAATCCTGGTAGTCCCATCGTGCATCAGAGATGGAAATGGCCGCTGCCCTTGGTAACCATCGTAAGTTATTCCGGCTCTTACGGGAAAAGGGCAACAAGAGATCTGGTTTTAGTGAAACAATTTGTGACGAGAGTGGAAAGCCTATCCACAACTTATCAAAACGCTTAGAGCGTTGGGCTGAACACTTTGAAAGGCAACTTAATCGGTCGGAATGGTTAGATTTCTCGCCGGCGACTGATGGCCCCGCTCCCTGAGCTGTCCCTTTGGATCCACCCTGTCGTTCAGAAGTCGAACGTGAGATCGGACTGTTGAAGTTGAACAAAGCCGCGGGACTTGATGATTTTCCTTTAGCCCTCTTCAAATTCGGGGGACCTGCTCTTGTTGAAGATTTACATGAATTACCAGTGAAACTGTGGGAGCAGGAGACTCCCAACCGATTGCAGCCGCTCCGTCATAGTCCCAATTTTCAAGGGAGTCTCACGATCGGAATGCGGCAGCCATAGAGGAATCAGTCTGATCTCCATCGCCTCCAAATCGCTTGCCTCTGTCATCCTTCACAGACTGACTGGCACTCGTGAAGGCCAGATTCGTGAAGAGCAAGCTGGATTTCGTCGAGGTCGTGGCTGCATTGACCACATCTTCACCTTGCGTCAGTTGTTGGAGCACCGTCACACATATTGGCGGCCCACCGTTGTCGTGTTCCTCGATATCAAAGGTGCACTCGATTCGGTGGATAGACATGCACTTTGGGACTGTCTACTCAGGAAAGGTGTACCTGAGAAATATGTAAATATTATCCGAGCATTATATACGCGTAGCTCGGGCAGAGTGAGGGCTTACAGCAAGTTGTCGTCGCCCTTTAATATCTTTAGCGGTGTGAGACAAGGATGCCTGCTGTCATCATTTCTCCTAAACTTCGCTGTTGACGAAGTCATGGAAATCGCGTTCACAGGACACAACTTAGAAGGTGTGGATCTGCTCCCAGGAGAACGACTTCTTGATTTAGAGTATGCTGATGATATTGCCCTAATCTGTGACAGCTCACAAACGTGTCAAGCGGCACTGGACAGATTGGCACTAGCTGTCCGTCACTTCGGGCTTTGCTTCGCACCCTCGAAGTGCAAAGCGTTCCTTCAAGATTTTTCTGGACCGCCTCCTACGCTGACCGTTGGCGGGGATCAGCTAGAAGTCATTCAAAGATTCAACTGCCTGGGAAGTTGTATCAGCGCCCGTGGGATTGAGGATGAGACCACGAACCGTATAGCAAAAGCTCGGGGCGCTTTTGCTAACCTTCGGCACTTATGGCGCCGGCGCGACATCACTCTTGCCCTTAAAGGTAGAGTGTGCAATGCAGCGGTACATTCGACCCTACTGTACGGTTCTGAAACCTAGCCCCTTAGATCAGCGGACATAAATAAGCTAGTTACTTTTGAGCACCGGTGCCTTCGCAATTCAGCTCTCATCTAGTGGGAACACCGCGTGAGTAACGAACGTGTTCGACGCCTTGTTTACGGCACAGGGAAAGGAAATGAAACGCTCAGCACCGTCATTTCACGCATCAGGCTTCGATGGCTCGGCCACGTGTTACGCATGCCAGCCCACCGACTCCGGCGACGTGCTTTGTTTGCGCGCCGGATGTGTGGATGGAAGAAGAGGAGGGGTGGCCAAACGATGACTTGGTCGAGAGGAATGAAGGCCCTCACTTCGGAGCTGGCCTCGGTTGGAGCGTCTCGGCTCCCTGGTTGGGGTCCGAAAGACGATGAACACGTTTGGTTTGACACACTTGCTGATATGGCTAGGGTCCGACCTCAGTGGTGTTCGTGCTGTGAGTTTCTTTGTCCCACCCCATCCCTCTTAGCCTCCCCCTCCAATCACGATCTCAATATTTAGCTTTATATCATTTCGCATAGTATTTTTTGATGCACAGTAGCCGACTGGTAGCTTACCGGAACGATGCCTATCCGCCACCGGAAGCTCAGCCAGCTTACACCAGTTGCTTTTTTTCTCCGTTTTTTGTGTATTGCGGCGCAGTAGCTGAGGTTTTCCCCGCCTCTAGCTAACGTGTATGATGATGATGATGTTCCAAGCGGTACCCAGCAGCTTTAAGTCAGCGTGAGTTACCATCCGGTGGAAGCATGCCGCTTTAGCACCAGGCGGTGGCCATGCATGAAGGGAAACTAGGTTAGAAAAAGTTAACTCACTTGCAAAAGATGTACTTATAGTGCTCCTCGTCTCCGTTGTATGCTGCACATAACTGATGAAGCCCTCTGTTGCATTTGCAGCACATAACCGAGTGAACGACGTCTCCGCTAGTTCTTGGTCTATCTTCGGTGTCGTAACTGATGCACGCGTTTTCGTGCTTGTTTTCAGGTTGCATATTCCCTGCTCTGGCGAGTTTAATCGAGGTTTTGTACACTGCAAAAGTGACAGTGGCGATAGGTCGGAATTACTAGTGCGTTTCGGTCGACAGCTGCGGGGGTTACATCACCCTAGGCGACAGCGATTGTTTCCTTTTTGTTGCCTTGGGGCTGTGAGGTTTTGGTGTGGCGTCAGCCTGGTCGAGCTTGTCAGGAAGGTAGTTTCCAACTGACACCAAGCTCTGCCTCCGTAGTAACATATTCAGGCTGCTTCGGTAGAACTGCTCCGCCTCAAGGCATAATACCAGCATGGCCCGTGGATATGCCGACTTAAATGCATTCATTTGCCCTAGGCACCTATCCATGACTATTGTCTTCGCTGTTTGAGTGGTGGGCAACATTTCTGACATCCCCGCGCAACTTTCAGGTAACCACCTGCCGTCTCGTTTGGCATCAAGGCGTAAAACACGCTGCGACCTACACCGAAACCATCAATTACCACGCAGTGCCAAAGAATGTAACCACCACAGTACACCTGATGCGTGACATCCGCAAGGAGCACGTCCACATATTTCGCCAATACTGACGTCATCGATTCAGGAACGAAAATAGGTATCGCACCCGCGAAACATCCCTTTCTACACACACAGCGTCATCCTTACTCAAAAATTCCGCAACCGCGTTTGCATCGTCCCCCTTAGATATCCCACTTAAGCGATGGGGGATGGAAAAGTGGTTCTGTCTATTCAGTCGTTTGTCATACCTTACAACACATAGCCTCGCAGTTCTCCGGTATTACGGAAGGACTGCATCAAATCACAAACCTGCCGCCCCGCCTCGGGAGTCAGGCGCCGCTTACTAACGTATAAACTTGCATTCATTTTAGCATTGTAGGCATTTTAGCCAGTCCGCGGGCGTCACGGTAACGCGTTAACAGGTAAGAGGTCGATCGTTTCCGTTTCCTGTTATCCTTACCTTCCTATTCCACCCCGGCACTTTCCCTTCCCTCTTCCGGGCTTTCTTAGCTGCCACTTTTACATCAGCCTCTTACTAGGCGGCTCGAGCGTACAGCCGTCTACGAGGTATTTATTTTGCGTTGCAGCTTGTCTTACTACTTGAACACGGAAGAGCTTGGAACGCCGGACCGAAGGTATATTATATATTTGGCGACCATGCCAGTTCACGACCACGGTCCACGAATCTAGATTGTGGCCCTTGAGGCAATAGTTAATCTTCGTCTATCGTGCTGCTCGTCGTTAAATATCCCGAGCCTAACATTCCGCGCTCAATGCCTCTTGCAGGTACATAAATTGATGCCGGTATGGGCCATTATGGGCGCTGAGGACAGCGCCTGCTAAGAGGGGGGATAATGTAGCCGGTCCGCGGGCGTCACGGTAACAGGTAAGAGGTCGATCGCTTTTGCTTCCTGTTATCCTTACCTTCCTATTCCACTCCGGCACTTTCCCTTCTCTCTTCCGTCCTTCCTTGGCCGCCTTGACATCGACCTCTTACTAGGTGGTTGATCATCCAGCCGTCTACGAGGTGTTTATTTTGCGTTGGAGCTTGTCGCACTGCTTGGACACGGAAGAGCTCAGAACGCCGGACCGAAGGAATATTACACCATTTCCTGTATCACTTTTTATCACCGGTCGAACATAAAGTAAATTGAACTGCATTAGCTGGACTGTGCCTTGTTATCTACACCTTTTAGGTTCATTGTCGGCGCTTTTGACATGCCTAACTTTGGATCTTACCTTACGGAAGCTCAGAAGAAGGAATTGAGGGAAGTTGCTGAGGCGATTGTTGCTCTTGGTAAAGGCATTTTGGCTGAGGATGTGAGCGTTGGTCAGTTTGTTGGGTAGTTCGTTATATGCCCCTTTCTTTAGCTGCCATTGGGAAGCTTTTTCAGAGTATTGGACTGGAAAACACTGAGGAATTTCGTCGCCAATACAGACAGCTACTTTTTTCTGTTAATCCCGAGGTGTCGAAGCACATATCTGGCGTACTTCTGTTTCACGAGACACTCTATCAAAAAGCGGACAACAACAGGCCCCTAGTCGAACTGTTAAAGGAACGCAACATTCTGATAGGAATCAAAGTTGACAAGGGCGTTGTTCCTCTGGCTGGATCAATCGACGAGTGTACAACACAGGGCCTGGATGAATTGGCAGAACGGTGTGCGCAGTACAAAAAAGACGGTTGCCAGTTTGCGAAGTGGCGCTGTGTTCTGAAGATCGGTTCCTGCACTCCATCTTATCAGGCCATGTTGGAAAACGCTAATGTTTTGGCACGTTACGCTTCTATATGCCAACAGGTAGTCTCTTATTGTCCTGAACTTAGTAGATGTACGCTACTGCGTACAATTGGTTTTTACCCACTTTCATGTGCTCTTCCCATCTTCTGTTAGAATCGCTTGTTACCAGGCACAAACATGACCCTTATCAACAACTCATTGTCTACCTGAGGATCAGTTTCAATCAGCATGCTAATACGTGATGTCTAGTTCTGCGCGTCATTAATTAAACTACAAGCTCTGTTTAATGTAGTGATCACTATTATCCTGGCTATATGTGTATGCACTTCGGAACCGCTTGCATTTATCAGTCCTGTTTCTGAGCTCACTTAGAAATATAGTTATAATTTTTGTGTGTGCTGTGACTAAATAAATTCATCTCATCGGATGTAGCTTTGCGGATGAACTGTGGTATGTCTGATAGCTATTTCTTGCCAATGAACTTGTGGCGTTTGCTTACCAAACCAAAATCGCTGATTGTCTGCTTTGTAGATAACCTTGACGAAAGGAAAGTGTGGGTGAGAGATATTAGGTCATCACTTTTCATGTCAACGATGTATCCTTTTCCATGAGCTACCCACGGATATCGATGTGCATCAATGATACGCTGTTTATTATCTTGTCGCAGCATGCGTCAGCCTGACAGTTACAGTCCACTCTTCTTAAATGACACCAAACTAACCGATACAAGATTTGCTGTAAAATGACTTGGCAGACGTGGGCTGTCCAGGTTGCATTTCGCCTGGCAGCCTTCCTTGACTTTACTCCTACATACTAACTAACAGACACCAGTGTTGCTTATCAGATATTCTCATCATATCCGTTTAGGAAGCGTTGAACATGACTAACAATCCCTTTAGGTACCTGAAGATCAACTATGACCCAAGCAGTCTACAACTTAAAACCGATTATCGTTTACGTGATTGAGTTTATTCCACGCACCCCTCCAGCCACTCAGTATCTTTAGTTAATCTCACTTCACTTCCCGTTAGTTGAATTAAGTGTAGCTTCACCAAACCAAGGTTATTGCACCAAATCTCACACTCTTCCTGCACCAGTCGTCACGCAGCGTCAAAGCGCCATTTTATCTGCCGCACACGGCGAGATGGATAGTCAAAACCCGCAGTCACTGCAGTCTCTCATTCTTTCCATCTGTTTCTATTACTGGCCTTCCGTTCTACACCATTGGACTCATTTGTGAGTGACAGTAGCTACAGCACTGTTGTATTCTTTTAGCTACATCTGTCCCCAACGTTACCCATTGATTCCTCGCCAACAACAACTCCTTATTGAACCCCATGTTGGAACTTCCTCCTCATATCTTAGGGAAGAGAAACCAGTGCTGATTCAGTTGTCCGCTTTTAACCGACGTATAACTGCTGTTACTTCGTGAAAAGCTAGACGCAGCAAACACGTAGCTAGCAGTTTAACTCACTTTTTTACTTTAATTATGCAACCATGTTATATTCAGTCTGACGAACCACCAGACTCGAGCTTGTTTGAAGCATCGGCTTTACACGAATCCATTACCGTTCATGAGTCAGAACTCTACAAAACTAGAATTCATGAGGCTGTAACCCATCCTAACGGGGTTAGACCTTAACATAGTATACCGGTTTGCTTATTTGTACGATTCATTCGGCTCTGACAGGTGTTGCTTTTTACAAATTCAGAGCCACCCATACCAACTTAGTCAATAGTTGAAGGCCATACAAACCCAGTTTCCTGGTTCTATCTGCAGGGTGCTGGAATGTGGGGGCTCATTATTCCTTAAAACGGACTCCTCGTAGCCTGCCCCCCCCTTCGCAACGAGACTGGACCTTAACGTGGTGCGTACCTCCCTGACCCATTGACCTATACTGGGTGGTGCCTCCGGGCCCCTTGAGAGTTACTCCTACCAGGTTGGTCAATGGTGGGAGGTAAGACAAACTCAGTCACCTGGTCCTCCATGTTAAGGTTTTGAAATGGGATTGCATCCATTTCTGTAAACCTACATCGTTTCCACCACCATGCTGCCTTGCGGACAGGCTTTTGAGCCAAAGGCTTTGATTAAGTACCATAATCGTCCTCCTGTCTAAGTCTGAGCGCTCTGGTAGTATCAGGCCACATACAACCATGCCTTTTTCTTCAAACCTAAACTTAATCCTGCATTGGTCGTCGCGCAGATTATTAAGGGTCGCCTTAACTGCTACATACAGCAGGGTGAATAAACGAAAACATGATACTGCTAGCGCTTCCTTCTTTCTTTTCCACCTGTTTGTCTTACTCCCATCTTGACCCCTACCACTAAACATCCTTCTAGAATTCCCAGCTTAATTGACAGCAACCGAAGTGCCACTGGAGTAGAATCATCTACAACCACCTTCCCACAACACCCATCGGACACCTATCGGCAACACTCCCTTAGAAGGCCACGCTGTCCCGTTTCCATGGCGACATTCAGCGTTCGCACTCTAAAACAAATAGGTCAACAAGCTGCACTCGCACGCACCTTGGACACACTGGGTATTGATGTGTGTTGTGTGTCCGAAACTAGGATCAATGGCTCTAATGGGGTTGTTGAATAAACTGCACCCGGTTTATGCTCTCGTAATTTGTTGCACGCATTCAGAGACGCCGGTGCCGCACTCAAACTGGTGTAGGTATCATTCTAAGCTCCAAGAATGAGCCATCGCTGGTTGATTGGATTCCGATGAACGGCCGCTCATATGCAGCTCGTTTGACGACATCAGGTTGATTCACGAAGTAGTACAAAACACTTTGCTTGTGACTTCCGTTTATGCTCCCATCGACTGCAGTTCAAATGCTGTCAAAGACACATTCTACCACGAACTGAACGCGCCACTACGCGGTGCTACTAGTTCAGATATTATTGTACTTGCAGGGGATATGAACGCACAAGTAGGGCGTATGAGCTCTTCAGAAGCTAAGCTGAGTGGTAATTGTGGGCTGAACTCCGAACGGACCGATAACGGTGAGCTTCTGCTGCGACTGTGTGCGGAGCACAGTTAGTTTTTTTAGTAGCACTGCCTTTAGACAGTGGGCGCCGAAGTGCCACTTGGCGTCCTGCTGTAGCTGGCCAGCGATGGACCCAAATTGACCATATTGCCATAAGCTACAGGTGGCGTGGTTCAATCCTGGATTGCCGCTCGTACAGGAATACCTGCGTCGACCTTGATAATGCCTTAGTACGCTGTTGTTTCTTCATGAACTTTACCCGGGGCGCACCAAGCGTCTCCTCCGATTGGCAACTAAGAAACTTTCACCATCGGTCAGGCAAACCTATCAAGGCGCACTGCATACCGAACTTTCGCTGTCTTGTCCTAATGACACAGACTTTCAGTGGAATAGGATCTCGACCACCATGCATGATGCAGGAGCATTTGCTTGTGGCACTGTCATTCGTCACCACACCAGTCACTGGATATCCGAGAGATCGGTGAACCAGTTGGAATCCAGAAGAAACGTCCCAGCTGGCTCTGAGCACAATTTGACCAGACGGGCTATTACGCGCGAACTAACGCGGAGTCTACGTGCTGACAAGGAAGCCTGGTGGACCAGTCAGGTCCAACAAATGGAGGCAGGAGCAGTAAGCAATTACCGCAAGCTCTTCCAGCTCATACGCAATACTGGTCCCAGGAAACCAGGCATCAGTGAGACAATCAGAGACAGCGCGGGTGCACTGCTGCACAATAATGAGTGCCGTATGGCACATTGGGCGGAACACTTTCAAGATCAGTTCAGCTGGCCCCCTGCTCCCGGACTTTCTCCTACATAGGTGGTACAGAACGAGCCATGGACAGTCAGTTTAGTCACCATCATTATACACATTAGCTGGAGGTGGGAAACACGTCAGCTACTGTGTCGCAATGCATAAAGGAAAGTAAATATAACAATTGCATGTCAGCTGCGCTACCAGCAACGGATAGGCATCGTTCCGGTAAGCTACCAGTCGGCTACTAGGCGAAAAGAAGAATTGTTATATAAAATTACATTACGCTGCGAAATGAGATCGTGCTTGGAGGGGGAGGCTAAAAGGGAAGGGGAGGGACAAAGAAACTCACAACACGAACGCCAATGAGATCGGCTCCTTGCCATATCAGCAAGTGTATCTATCCAATCGTGTTCATCGTCTTTTGCACCCCATTGACGGAGCCGTGACGCTCCAATCGAGGCCAGCTCCGAAGTGAGGGCCTTCATTCCTCTGGACACAGTCATCGCTTGACCACCCCCTCTTCTTCCATCCACCTTCCCGGTGAGCAAACAACGCACATTGCGGAAGTCAGTGGGCTGGCATGTGCAACACGTGGCCCAGCCATCAGAGCCTGATACGTGAAATAACAGTGCTGAGCGTTTCAGTTCCTTTTTCTATGCCGTAAACAAGGTGTCGAACACGCTTGTTACTCACGCGGTGTTCCCACCAGATGTGAGCCAAACTGCGAAGGCACCGATGGTCGAACGTAACTAGCCTGTTTATGTCCGCCGATCTTAGGGGCCAGGTTTCGCAACCGTACAGTAGAGTCGAACGTACCGCTGCATTGTACACTCTACCTTTCAGGGCGAGAGTGATGTCGCGCCGCCGCCATAGGTGGCGAATGTTAGCAAAAGCACTTCGAGCTTTTGATATACAGTTCGTGATCTCATCCTCAATCCCAAAGGCGCTTATACAACTTCCTAGGTAGTGGAATTTCTGAACGACTTCTAGCTGATCCCCACCAAGGGTCAGCGCAGGAGGCGATCCCTGCCAATCTTGGAGGAACACTTTGCATTTCGAGGTGCAAAGCAAAGCCAGAAGCGGCTGACAGCCAGTGCTAATCTGTCCAGCGCGGCTTGACACGTCTGGGAGCTCTCACAGATTAGGGCAATGTTGTCTGCATACTCCAAGTCAATAAATTGTTCTCCTTGGAGTAGCTCCACACCTCCCAAGCCATGTCCTTTAAAAGCTATCTCCATGATTTCGGCAATAGAGAAGTTGAAGAGGAAAGGTGACAACGGGCATCCTTGTCGCACACCGCTGGAGA